ACCGAGGAGGGTGTTTGGGACTTGGTCGGTAACAATACACCAATATTCTTCATTAAAGATCCCATATATTTTCCCAGTTTCATACATACTCAGAAAAGAAACCCTGTTACACATCTGAAGGTTTGTCATCAATAACATTGTACTTAAGAATCTCAAAGTTTTATAATTATATAGTTAATCATAAAAGTATTTGACTATTTCATGTTTTTATTTTTAAAAATCTATGAAAAATAATAATGGTCTAATTTGGATTCTTACTAAATTTTTAAAGTTCAAAATTTTGGATATTTAAAAATTAATTGTAAAAATAAAAATTTACTTACTTTGATTTCTATTAATGAAATTGTTTTGTAGGATACCGACATGTTTTGGGATTTTCTCTCTTTAAGACCTGAATCAACTCACCAAGTTATGTTTTTATTTTCGGATAGAGGAATTCCCGATGGTTATCGTCATATGAATGGTTACGGTTCTCATACGTTCTCATTGGTGAATGCCAAAGATGAAACAGTTTATTGTAAATTCCATTATAAGGTGCATTTCTTTATATTTTATTATATCTTATTAAGAAATCTATTCTTAATGATTCTAATCCAGTGTAATGTTATTTTTAAATATAAAAAAATTATTTCATTTTATTTGTTAATAATAATAAAAAAATAAAAAATATTAACGTTTACATATTTTGAGAAGTATAATTTTATTAGATATTCTATTATATATGAAATTATTTTTTATAGACCGATCAAGGAATTAAAAATTTACCAGTAGACAAAGCGACTGAATTGAGTGCTAGTACTCCCGATTATGCGATTCAAGATCTTTACGATGCAATCGCCAAGAATGAATATCCAACTTGGACATTCTATATTCAAGTGATGACTCCAACACAAGCAAAATCTTTTAAATGGAATCCTTTCGATTTAACCAAGGTAATGGATTAAATATTTGATATGAAATTAAAATTAGGTTTTATTTTAGAATTTATATAACGTAATTAAATTTAATATCATCAAATTGTTTTAATTGTTAAAAAATTAGTGATTTAAAATATATATAAATCTTGGAATAAATATGCGATAATCTTTAATTAAAAAAATGTTTTAAATTGAATAGGTATGGCCTCATGATGAATATCCACTCATCCCTGTCGGTAAGTTAGTACTGAACCGAAATCCTGAAAATTACTTCGCTGACATAGAGCAAATAGCCTTCGATCCGGCTCATATGGTACCTGGTATTGGAGCAAGTCCTGACAAAATGCTACAAGGTCGAATGTTCGCTTACGGTGATGCTCATAGACATCGTCTTGGCCCAAACAATCTGCAATTACCAGTGAATTGTCCATTCAAGGTAATTTTTCTACTTTTATTAATGAAAGATATAACATCTACTTGTATAAAATAATAATATATATTAATGAGTGATATGAAATATATTGATATCCATTTTAAAAAAAAAAATGCATAATTTTATAATATAATTATAATGTAAATTCCCACTTTTTTTTTTATTTGAAAACAATACAAAATAATAAAACATCAGTAAATTTTTAATTACAATATATGTACTTATAATAGATTAACGTTTTAGTTAACTATATTAACTATTATATAATTATATATAATATAGTTAACTATATTATTCCTAACAATGAAAAAAACTAATAAAATGAAAAAAGAAATGAAAAAAAAATTTTTTTTTTTCAGGAAATTTCTGTAAT